GGCCTGCGCGCGCCACTGCGCAGGCGCGACCGGGCCGCGAGAGGGGTGCGCGTTGCTACGTCACAGCGCGGGGCGTGGCCTTTAGGAAGGGGCGTCGCTTTACGATCGCGGAGGGCGTGGTCTTAAGGTGCGGAACGTGGCTTTACGACCATGTGGGCCGGGTCACTGAGGAAGGCCCGGAGCTTTACGACGATCAGGGGTGTGGCTGGGATGAGAGCGCGGAGCTTTACGACACTGTGGGGGCGTGGCCTGAAGGTGGGCGCGGAACTTTAGCCCCAAGGTGGGGGCGGGGCCTCTTTACGACGGTTTGGGTGTGGCCTGGCGGGGGCGGGGCTTCGCCACACCGCGGCGTAGGTTCGAGGCGGGAGCCCGGCTTTACCATAGCCCGGGGGGCGGGACCAAGGGGCGGGCACGCCGTTTTGCGACGGCGCCTGAGGGTGCAGGGGGGTTCGCCGCACTACGGCTGCCGCGCTTTGCGGACGAGCCGAAGCCGCCCGTCAGCGGCCCGAGGGCCGCCGTGAGTGGCGGCCGGGAGCGTGCGTACCTGAGCGGGGACTGAGACCCGCGTGGGGGCGGGGCAACCCGCGGGGCGGCGCGCTCCCGTTGCCATGGAGACGCGTGGCGGCCTCCGCGGCGCCACCCCGCAGTGGCGTCTGTGGCGTCACCGTCTCACCACCCGACGTCATGGTGGGCGGTGCCCAGGGGGCGTGGCTTTCCCGCGGCGCCGGCGGCGGGGGCGGGGCGGGGGGAGGAGGGCAGTGAATGGCGCGGGACCCGGAAGTCGCTTCCATAAACGACGATTGTATTTTAAAGTTCACGGTCCGCGCCGCAGGAAACTGTGGATTGGGTTCCCGGCGAGGGATCGGAGTCAGGGCCGTTCGTCTCGGTGTCAGTTCTTTAAAACTTTATTCTGATTTTGGGGTTTTTTAGACACTGTCTAGCTATGTAGCCCAGGCTGCCCCTCTGCTCTAGCAAGCCTTCCCGCCTCGGCCTCCAAGCGCTGGGATGACAGGCATGACCACCACCCCTTGGTTTTTCTTGTCGTTCGTTTGCATGACGACATCCCCGAGTGCCGGGGCCTCTGGGGTCCGGACCCCGCAGCAGGTCACCTGGGGACGACCCCCCCCCCCCCCCCGGCGCTCTGCCAGGCTCCTGCACGAAGCACGGACTCTGCTTCCAGCTGGCAGTCACCTGCTGCAGCTCACAGAGTGCGTGCATGCTCACGCTCTGCACCGTGTCTCCCCGCCGCACGTGAACGCGGGCAGGGGCTGCAGAGCAGGAGCGGGCAGGGGCTGCAGAGCAGGAGCGGGCAGGGGCTGCAGAGCAGGAGCGGGCAGGGGCTGCAGAGCAGGATCGCTGTGACTCCTGTGCTGCCCGAGGCCCTGCCTGGAAGGAGGCCCCCACCCAACCCTGCTGCTTCCCCGATGTAGATATTTGCCCAGTTGAAGGAAGCACATCCAGTCACAAATCCTCCCAGGCGAAAATGATGGACTACCCGGGGAGTCCTCAGTCCTGGGGGAGGGCACCCAAGTTCAGACGAGTTCATGGGTGGCAAAGTGCCTGAGGGTGGGTGCTTTGGCCAGATGGCCCCTGGGAAGGCCAGCCGCAGTGTGCCCAGATCCCAGCCTCCTCCTCATGACGTATACCGCTCCCCTCCTAGAAGAAAAAACGAGGGGTGAATATGCCGTCCTGGAAGGCCGAGTCCAGCTTTTTAGCAGCCAAGTGCAGCCCCAGAAGTTGCAGGCAGTAGAGACGTTCCACAGCCCCCTTTCCCTTTCCTGCTGCAGCGTGGGTCTCTCCTGAGCTGTGCTGTGGTGGACGGTGGGGCACACATGGGCTGCAAAGAGGGTGCCGAGAGAAATTCAGATAAATAGAGCTTAAGCTGTAAGGTGTCTACGCAGAGAGTGGATACAAATGGCGAGAAAGAAAGTTAGCTCAAGTTATTTATGCTAAGATAAGATACTAAAAACAAGAGATGGTGTCAGCACATAAACAACTCGTAAATAGGGTGCCCTTTAAATGACTGGTGTGTTCCTTCACTGCTCCTAGGCTTTGGAGGTTTTCTGGTATAAAGGAAGCTTACTGCCCATCAATAAAGGAGTTCTTGCGTGACTTGACTCCCCGCTGGGTCTGATTGTCTCCGGGTAAGAGGGAGGCTGGGCGGGCGAGCTTGCCTTTCCCTGGTTCCAGGCCACCTCTTCACAGGTGACCTAAGTTCCCGGTGGGGCAGGTCCCCACACTGGACTGCGTCTGCTCTCAGTCTGTTCTGGGAGCCAGCGCAGGAGTGCACACAGTAGGCACTCAGCGCATGTGCCATGACTGCTTGGATGAATGGAGGTATAAGCTCCGCAGCCCTCACAGAGGGGAGAAGTTGGGCTTCTCCCTTTTTGGACGTCCTACCTCGTCTTTGTTCCTCTCTACCTGGGTTGTGGCTGTCACTTGCCTCTTAAGTCACTGTGTTTACAGCTCTAAGATAGGAATTAAACCCAGGATTAGAGCCGTTCCAGGCAGAGGTTGTGTGACTGTGGACCAATCACTTACCCTCGCTGGTCCTCAGTACTATCTTCCTGTGACTTTAGGTTAACGGCCAGGCCCATGAGCATTGGTGGGAACCCAGAAGTGAATAAAATACTGCCTGCTGTCATCCCAGCCAAGGTGCACGGGGCGGGGCTGGTCTGGCAGGGCGGTCCCAGGTCACCTGCCGCAGGCCGAGGAGTTTCAGGTTCCCTCTTACCTGAGACCCCCCTTTCATGTTCCGATATGGATGCCGAGAGTTAAAGACAATGGACTTACTGGCCACTGCACACCACCCTGCTCCCATGCTGCTAACTGGCAGATACCACAACCTCTCCACATCAGCTGCAGCGGGGTGCAGTCCCCAACTCACACCAGTTCCAGGGCTGCACCTAAGGGGAGAATTCTGAGCTCAGGCTGGGTGAGGAAGGAACAAGATGGGGTGAGGCTGTGAGGGCCATGGGGTGGCAGGAAGAAGGAGGAGACAGCTGGAGGGTGAGCCCTGGGACTTCAGGCTCCTGGACCCACCCAGCCAGCCAGCTGACTGGCCCAGCATGATCCAATCAGACCCCTGCCCTGGGTGATGGAGGAGTAGCCCAGAGTCCCCGTAAGCTGGGGCCAGAGACTGTGGGCAAGTATCTGTCACCCCAGCGCTCAGGAAGAGGCTAGCCTGGGCTACAGAGGCTGTGTCACAGACAAAAGATGCCAGGAAGTGATGGCACATGTCTTTAGTCCCAGCACTTGGGAGACAAAGGCAGGCGGATCTCTGTGAGCTCGAGGCCAGCCTGGGCTACACAGAGAAACCCTGTCTCGGGAAACCAGCTTAGGGAACAGCCAGCTCAGTCTGACTCTTCTGAAGGCTGGGTTCCTTCCCTTTTCCTCCTCCTTCTCCTCCTCCTTCTCCACTGGGTTGGGCTTTGTTTTGATTGGTTTGGTTTACAGCTCCCCATGTAGCCCCACACTGGCCCGGCACAATCTCCAGGCCAGAGTGTGTGACAGTCCCCTGGGGCTGGTCTAAGTGCCATGCTCAGCGGATGTTGGAATATTTCTACATTAAAGATATTAATTACACTCATGATATTCATTAATTACACTCATGGTATTAATTACATTTGTGGTAGTCATCGATTGCATTCTCAGTATTCATTCATTAGCTATATTTATGATATTCATTAATTACATTAACTGTATTGATTTACATTCATGATGTCATGTCCTGATACTGCTTTCCATTTGTGGGGCTTTTCCATCACAAGAAACAGATTCTGTTCTCAGGAAATCATTGCTCTATATTCCTTTCTTCTCCATCTTTAGATAACGTCTAATCTTTCTGTCTCTATGAATTTGTATATTCTATATATTTCATGTAATACAATTCTATAGTATTTGTCCTTTTTTAATGTAAAAATAGTTGATGTACAACTGCAGGGAAAATAATAGACAGCTTGAACATAAAAACAGATTATAATTCAAAAAGTCCAGGGTTATTAGAAACTAGAAAATGTTTTCTGTGTAGAAAATAGTAAAATTGGGCCTGGAGAGATGGCTCAGTGGTTCAGAACATTGATTATTCTTCCAGAGGTCCTGAGTTCAATTCCCAGCAACCACATGGTGGCTCACAACCATCTGTAATGAGATCTGGCGCCCTCTTCTGGCCTGCAGGCACACATGTAGACAGAACACTGTATACATAATAAAATAAATCTTTTTTTAAAAAAAAGAGGGGCTGGAGAGATGACTTAGTGGTTAGAGCACTGGTTGTTCTTCCAGAGGACTTGAGTTCCATTCCCAGCACCCACATGGTGACTCACAACTGTCTGTAACTCCAGTTCCAGGGAATCTAACACCTTCACACAGACACACATGCAGGCTAAAACACCAATGCATATAAAATAAAAATAAATCAATTATTAAAAAAGAAAGAAAGAAAAAGAAAATAGTAAAATTGATAACATTTCCCAATAAGCCCTTTTAAACCAAATAATAGCTGAATTATAGATATAAATAGTGATTAGATTCCGTGATACAGAAGAGACCTATCTTCATTTGTTCAGAGAGCTGTGTTTTATTAAGTTGTGTAGGTGAGATTCCTGTTTTATCTTCCCCTTCACTGATTATGGCAGACATTTTTCTATAGGCTAATCCATAATCTAAAAAGATTTTAGCCTGCCCTCCTGAAAGTACGGCCAGCATTTTCTTTCATCAGCTTGATAAGGTACAAATTCTAATCCTAACAGTGAAATGTTTCACTGAAGCTTACCCAGTGATTGGGCAAAACCGAAACTTAGTATAAGCCACAGTCATCCTAGGATCCCCCCTGCTAGGTAGCCTCCCTGGTTCTGTGGGTTGCAGTCTGATTGTCCTTTGCTTTGGAATATTTTTACGTTTTTATTATTTTCGTGTGTATGTGCGTGTGTGTGTGTGTGTGTGTGTGTGTGTATGTGCATATGCGTGTGTGTGTGTGTGTGTGTGTGTGTGTGTGTGATAGCACATGCCAAGCTCAGAGGCCAACATCTTGGAGTTGGCTTCTCTCCCTACCTCTATGTAGGGTCTGGGGATTGAACTCAGGGAGCCATCGACAAAGTCTCACTGTGTGGCCCTGGCTGACCTGAAACTCACTCTGTAGCTCAGCCTGGCCTGGAGCTCACAGAGATCCCACTGCCTCTGCCTCCTGTACTAGGGGTAAAGGTGTGTGCATCACCACCACACTTGACAAGAATGGTTTTTAAGATAGGATCTCATGGAGTCCAAGCTGGCCTCAAACCCCATATGTAGCAAAGGATGACCTAGCCGCCAACTCCTGATCTCCTGAGTGTTGGGGGCGCGGTGAACGCTATCCACTGCCCCCAGCACCAGAAAGTCACCTGCCTGTGAGATTGCAGGACTCTCAGCAGCCAGAGGAGGCAGGAAAGACCCCCTTTGGGCCGAGGGAGCTGAGCCTGTTCCTAGCAGAAGGTGGAGGACCCTGAGCAGATGGCAGCTGCCCTCGCCCGGACTGCTATTCACAGAGGCTCAGTTTCAAATGGCTTCCTCACCCGGAGTGGCAGCGTGCCCAGTCTCGCCTGCCAGGCCTGGTAGTTTCCCTCTGAGAGGACAGGACAGTCTGGGTCATCAAGCAGGAACTGGTCTTGGAAGACACATGCTTGCTGTTTTATTGGCATTGCTCCAGGGACTAGAGTCCAAACTAGTCCCCGGGAAGGCGTGTGGTGGGGGCCAGAGGGGCTGCCTGCCTCTGTTCGCCTGGTCTCGGATGTGCTGTAGGTGTCTCTCCGGAAGTCTCTGGGCCTCGGTGTCTTCTGTAAAAAGCCGAGTTAGAGATGCTGCTGTGGGTTTCCCCTTGATGCCACTGACTAATGTTCTGCTCTGTGTCTAGAAAGAAGGAGGCCATCACTGACATGCTGACTAGTGATGCCTGCTCTGTGCTGAGAAGGGAAGAGAGCATCACTAACTGTCTTATTGATGCCTGGCTTGTGCACAGAATGGAGGGAACTATTGGCTGGCAGATTGATTGCTAATGCCTGTCCTGTGCAAAGCATGGAAGGAATCATTCATTCATCAACTGATGGTTGATGTCTCCCCAATGGGTGATTGGTGATGTCTGCATGGAGGGACGAGGCAGTGTAGTTTTATCTACTTACCATCCTCACAAAAGGTAAACTCTGGCAGGGCAGCCAGCCCCTCCTGCTTCCAGATTCTGACAACAGTGATTGTATAATTTTTCTCTGTTTCCCCATTTTAAAGCATTCCAGGCCTTTCTGAGAATTAGAGGCACAGTCCTAAACAAGAACTCTGGGCAGAAGATTCCAAGTTAGCAGTCAGTGGTGGAACCCCTCCTGGCTTCAGAGATGAGTACGTTCTGTACTGTGTCACACCCCAGCATCCCCTCCAGTGCTCGGACACACCTGTCACCCCAGCACTTAGACGGTGAGGCAAGATATCGGAGTGCAGGGCCAGCCTTGGCCACACAGTGTTGGAGGCCAGCCTGTGCTACAGGAGACCTTGTTAAAAGAACAAACAAAAACCCTAGAAAAGACGGAAAGAACCACGTAGAGAATGGGTTACAGCATGTGATGTCGTACTGGGGACTTTGGAGACAGGGCTCCGTGAGAGGCCAGTGTGGGTGGAGCAAAGAGAGGCCGTGGCCGTTGTATTCTGTGAGGACAGCGCTGGAGAGTGGAGGACAATGGGGCCCTCGGTACAAGAAGTCGAGAGTGTCCCCTGGTGGCTGAGGGCGGAATTGCACCATCACTGTATTAGAGAAGCCGGTTGGGGTTGGGGAGAGGCATTTGTGGACTTCCTAACCATGGGGTCACTGTCCCCGCTCCTGGACCAACTGTCACCCCATGTGTGGTAGTGAGTGGTGTGTAGACACGAGCTTACGGGGAAAGCAGCAGTCAACTGGTGCCCTGTGGCAAGGCCCTCACACCAGGGCTGGAACACAAGCTGTCTCCACTCTGTGGGACAGAACTCATGCGGTCAAGGCACAAGCAGGGCTGACCCCACTGTGGCCACTTTGTAGGGAGTCCAGCCTGCCCACTCACAGTGGCAGGTGCCAACCAGTGACCCTCAGTGTCCTTGGCCTGTAGATACATCACCCCACCTCTCCCTTCATGGCCCTTCCCAAGGCAGGCATCTGTGTTTAGATCTTTTTGTTTTTCAAGACAAGGTTTCTCTGTGCAGCCCTGCCTGTCCTGGATCTCGCTCTGTAGCCCAGGCTGGCCTCGAACTCACAGAGATGCGCCTGGCTCTGCCTCCCGAGTGCTGGGATTAAAGGTATGCGCCACCACCGCCTGGCCAGTCTTCACTTTTTAATGACACCGGTCAGTTGGGTGTCTGGGACCTACCCTAAGCAGCTCACTAAGGCCCCTGCAAAGACCCCATTTTCACAGGCACTTTGGAGGTTCTGGGGAAAGGGCCTTAGAACAGGGACGCCGTGGACAGACAGAACGCAGACCATGTTGGTCTGTTCTGGGCACATCCTCCCATAGTGCTTTCTTTTCACAGCTCCGGGCTCCTGGTCACCTTCTCTAAGGCCTTTTTGAGACCATGTAGCCCAGGCGGGTCTTGAACTTGTTATGTAGCCCAGGATAACCCTCTTATTTTTGGCATGTAGGTCTCACTTTGTAGACTTAGCCGGCATGCAACTCAGAGATCCACCTGCTTCTGCTCAGAACCCAAGTCAACAGCAGGTCACGATGGTGCCTGCCTGTCACCCCAGCCACCCTGAGGCAGAGGCAGGGAGTCCCTGGAGCTCACTGGCCGGCCGGCCTAGAGATCTGTGAGTTTCCGTTCCAACGGGAAACTGTCTCAAAACACAAGATGGAAGCCAATAGAAGGCAACTAGCTGATGCCAACCTCTGGGCTCCATACACACGCATGCGTCATGTACACACACACACACACACACACACACACACACACACACACACACGCATCATGTGCACACACACACACATGTGCACACACACACACGTCATGTGCGCACACACACGTCATGTGCGCACACACACACGCGTCATGTGCGCACACACACATGCATCATGTGCACACACACACACCATGTGCACACACACACACCATGTGCACACACACACATCATGTGCACACACACACACACCATGTGCACACACAAACATGCGTCATGTGCACGCACACACACACACACACACGCATGTGTCATGTGCACACACACACACACACACACACACGCGTCATGTGCACACACACAGCACATGTACCCCACAACATAAATACAGGCCCTGCTGCAGAAAAGGGAATTTATTTCCAGAATGTTCTCACATAACAAAACCAACTGTGGCATGTGGGTGCACGTACCCGGGGTGGGCTGGGCCGAGATGCAGGTGTCTTGAGGGCGTGTCCCCTGTGGTGGGCACTGGGCTCCATCCTCATGCCACTCTAAGGTGGGGCTTCAGGGTGCAAGGCTGCTCCCCACACGCCTACAACTCTCTATCCTGGCCCCCTCTGGCATCCTGGGCACAGAACAGAGGCCAGGTGCCCAGGCAGTTTGGCAGGACACCGGTCTAGGAGGGGCACGGCCCTGTGGGGAGGCCTGGGGACCGCAGTGACTTGGCTGGTGGCACCAGTAGGTCACAAGGAAGAATGTCAAGTCCAAAGTCATCGGGTGCTGTGGACATTCCAGGACTCGGTCTGGCTCTCCTGGTGAGGGCACCGCTGTCCCGAGAAGGCAGAAGGGTGAGGGGAAACGGGTCTCTCTAAGGCACAGATCTGTCCCTGGCTCTGCTCCTGGCAGACCAGGGGCCTCCGGTCCTGGCCAGCCTCTGTGACAAAGGTGTGGCCTGCCATGCAGAGGAGCTGGTCTCTCTCCTCCCACAGGGAAGCGGGGGAGCCTCCTGGAGCCAGAGCAGCCCCAAGCGAGTGGATCAGGGCCTTCCGTGGGCAGAGGTCCACTCAGGATCCTGGATGGTGGTGGGGACAGCACGATGTCCCTGCCACTGGGGATAGGACAGGAAGCTGCAGGACCCTGTCCCCAGAGGAGCACAGGGGTAGACTGGATGGTAGAGCTGAGGACGCAGCCACAACAGCCATGCTCCTGCCTCCATCCACAAGTGCTCTCGGGGGCTCAGCTGTGTCTCAGCAACACAACGGACAGGAGCCTGTGGTCCGCCACCCTTTGGACAAGCAGGGCGAGCGACCACAGCCGACTCTGCTGGAATGGCAGTGGACAGCGGCCGAAAGGCAGTGTGCTGAGGCTCGGGCAGGACACGAACACGGCCAGGGCCTCCCGGGATCTCGGGGAGATGCTCAGGTTTCAGGACCGAGGGTGGTGGCAGGAGACGGCGCCTAAGGCCACTGGCCTCCGCTGGGGTAGCTGGGGACAGTGGGGTATTCGGGCAGGCTGTTCCCAGAGAAGTTGTTAAACTGGGCCTCCCTCGATGGGGGATTCCTCCAGGTACCAGTGTTCCACTCCGTCTGGGCCTTCTGGAGGCTTCCACCAGCCCCCCGGTAGATCCTATGCACCTGAGGGATCGGGGACAAAACAGAGCAGGGGGTCTGTGCGCCGTCAGGGAAAGGGACCCACGGTGACCCCCGGGTGACACCGTAGGGCGTCCCTCACTGTGCCGCGGATGCCCCATCTCCTCTGGCGTCGCCACAGCCCTCAGGACACCCCAGCTCAACGCCAGCTTCCCTGGGGCCGTGATGCCCCCCCTGCGGCATCACTGTGGCGTGTGCCTGCTTCCCCCGGGATCCGAGGGGCGCACACCTCAGCAGTGCCCAGGAGTCCTCCCCAGACCCTGTGAGGTCCCAGGTGACAGCCTGCAGCTCAAGACTCGGCTGTTCCGGGCGGCTGATGTGAGAAGAGGGCGTTTTAGGATGGAGACAGAGAGCAGGACTCACCCTCACAAGGGCGACGGCCATCATAACAGCGGACAAGGAAAACAAGATGGCCGGGATCAGCATGACCACGGCTGCCCCAACATTGACCCCGAAGAATCCAACAGCTGCCAGCCAGCCACTGCAGGGTGAGAGAGAGGGGAGGCGAGGTGTGAAAAGGGTTCAGCATGCCCACAGAAGGGCCTGCGTGCTGTCCTTCATATGCAAAGAGCTCTGAGAAATCAACAAGGAATAGGTACGTAAGGCCTGACCTCCTCCATATGTACAGAGCTCCAACAGATCGTCAAGAGAAAGATAACTTCAAAGGAGCTGGGCTCAGTTAAGGACAAAAAGGTGACTGATCAATACAAAATGATGGCCATAAGAAACCGTCCAACAATTTAACAGGCATCGGTTCACAAAACATACCCAACAAAAAGACACATTTCAAAGAAAGTACCAAGGCAAGGCCTTGCTGCCTCCTCCAGGTCACTATAACATCTTCTTCTCCACGCTACCTTAAATGAACTGAACTCAAGAGCGTAGGTAACACCGTCAGTAGCCCATGCACCCTGAGAAGGCCACCCGCCGGTCTGAGTCAGCGCTGGGGCATGGCGGGGGATGGGGTGGTGACAGCTGGTTCAGAGCTGACAGAGTCCCGCAGCCAGCGAGGAGGGAGGAGGGCATGGTTCATGAGAGGCATGGCGAGGTGAGGGTGCCCGAAACCCTGCACGGACCGAAGGGGACGGAAGGGCTGGAGGCCCACACTGCATCACTGAGCGGGGCCGGGGGCTCGGACACGGAAGCAGCCATCACGGCGTCGTCAGGGAACGCCCGGGCCTCTGCACTGCCTATGGCCGTGCCGCTCAGTGCCCTTGTGAGACTCGGGGGCGGTGGGGGCAGCTGATTCTGCCGCCCGCGTTTGGGAACCCTGTCCCCCTCTGGGCGCCTCCTCCAGCCTTGCCGGGGGGACGGGCCTGGCCGCACTGTAACCTGTCAGGCCCTGTTCGGCAGACCCCGCAGAGTCCTCCAGGAGTGGACCTGGAGAAGAGGGAGGTGCTGGGAGGAGGGAGGGGAACTGCGTTCGGGGTGCGGTGAGAGAGAAGTGGAGGCCTAGACGGGGCGGCGTCCGCATTTATCCCGTGCTCAGGAGTCAGGCCGGCAGACCTCACAAGTCAAGTACCGAGTGCCAGGACAGCCAAGGCACACAAGAAAGAAATGAGGACCTAGACTGGGAGTGCGTCTGTCCAAGGCAGGCATGGCAGGCACGGCAGGGGGGTTCTGTTCAAGGAACCCAACAGGGCGGCGAGGGCGGGGCTGCAGGCAGCTTGGCGGCACCCTCTGCCGGCGGCCCGCGGCACGGCCCTCACCTGTCGGCGGGGCTCCTCGCTGGCCGACCCCCACACATCCCGGGGGTCTGCTTA